GTTTTTTTTAACGTCTTCTGCTTTTTGTTTTTATATTTTAAAAAACAATCCCTGCCCTTTCAGGAACCCCAGTTGTGTGTATTTGAGGACTAAGATCTGTCCTTTATACTTCTCTTCTTTCCTCTCATTTTAAAATCTCTTTGTCTTTTCTTTCTAACCCAATTTCTCGAGTTTGTCTTCTTCCTCATCAACTTTCTCCAGTCCATACGCTTCTATTTCCTGCCTCTGTGTGTGTTTAATTCTGACTCTAAACTTCCTAGTCATTTGCTTTTGCACAGTTTTTATAATTGATTCTTCCAGATTCAGAGATGCAGTGGTCTCTTACCAGGTTCATAAATCAGACTTCTTCAGGATATATTTTTAAAAAACAACAATGATTATATTTAAGATGGAAATAACTCCTTGGAGTCTATAGAAAAACGATGCCCTCTTTTTGAATGGTGATATGTTTTCATGGGTCTGGTGACTTTTCTTTTCTGACAAAGAACTGTGAAGAAAAACTGGATCACGATAGTTTGGAGATGGGAATAAGTTCTACCCAAATCATCTTCCTAGACAGAAAAGGACCAACAGAGGTGGGGGATGTGAGACCCAGATCCAAGATCCAATTTGGGGTGGGCAGGCAGTGAGGGCGTGGTATGGCACCCAGAAGGTGAACTCCCTCTTGGAGTTCCCACTGGAACCCCAATCTGTTGGGACAGGGCTCCACAGGCTCCCAACAATACTCTGCCTGTCTAACCTCTACCTCTCACCTCCTGGCCAGCTGGGTCACCTACTCCTGCTTTCTCCCTTCTGGAGGGGTCTGATTCCGTTCATCACTTTTAACGTTCTCTCTGGCTGGGATTCTTTAAGGTTTAGAGTGGTGGATGGTGAACACTGTGTTTCCATGGCGGCCACACTTTTTCTCTTATTTCCACATTGGTTCAAATGGCTTTTGTGAATTCAGGGTTTCCACCGCCTGTCCTCTCACCCCATCTTGTCCAGAAGGCTGCAGCACTTAACCAAGAAAAAGAGGAAAAAACGCATACAAACAACACTACAAATTAGAAATGATATGTAATGAGAGTCACAAAGGGATTTAGAAACAATTATAGGAGCAGATCAGCAGAGCGAGACAGAAACACTACAAGATTCTTGAATTTTAGACTTTGATTTTTCTTTCTCCTTGTGGGGCTCCCCATGGTAAAGGGTATTTCTGGGCATGGTTGCTGGTATTCATTTGGGTAGGGATAGTCATAAGGAAATAGGAATATTTATCTGAAAGCATAAATAAAAAACTATAATGTTTCTTTCCACTTTCATTTGCTTATCTTCTCATATCAGAGTAAAACTTCTTATAACGTCACTGGAGTTGATCTGATCTGGGAACACCCTATCAGAGTAAAACTTCTTATACCACACCGGGGTTGATCTGATCTGGGAACACCCTATTATCAGAAGGTACCTTCCCACCTCTGCTTTTCTTCCATGCTAAGCATAGAGCAGATACCTGTCATTGCCCAGCACCTGTAGGAGTCACATGGGAATTTTGCCGTAAGCCCCCTTCATTTGAGAATGGAGCCATCCCATCCAGCAGCAGAAGTTGGGCCCAGCGCTCTCTCAGCCTGGATCTGCGAAGGGAATATTCCTGATCCAATTACTCTGAAATGGGACCCACTCATGGGGAAAAGTCTCAGCTGAGAGCCAGTGTTAGCACACCAAAGTGTTACCAATCATCACAAAGAGCTGGGAGAGAGCTGGGTGGCACCCATTGCCCCCAAAGAGCAGTGAACACATGGTCCAGGTTATATTCTAGGGCAGTGGTTGTCGCACACTATTTAGTTGTGGAATCTTTGTTTTAAACATTTTCCATGTAAGATGTTGTGTGTGTATACATTATATGCACATGTCATGTGTATATGCATATAGGCACATGTGCGTGTTATGTGTGCATGTATGTTTGGATATGTGTGTTGTATGTGCATATGGATGTGTATGTGTGTGTATGCATATAAGACCAAAATGAAGCATAGTTACTGGTGGGTGAGGCAGGCCAAGTGGGTGCCCTCTTCCACTTCTCTATAGAGCCCCATACTCATGGAATGCAGTTGGAACTGCTGCTGGCCCAGTGGGTGGTGTGTGGCGGGGCTGGTGGTAGTGTGGGGCTGTATGCTTTCCCTTGAAACTCTAAACTGATTGAGCCCCAGGGACTGAGTGTTCAGCCCCGTGCCTCAGTGGTGTAGGGTCATTAACATCTGCTAAGATGTTACTGTCTGACCAGAGAATACCTTCTCTTCCTATTGCACTAGTTTTTGCCTTCTGATCTGTTTCGGTAATATGGAGCTGTTGATTTTTTTCAATGTTTCTAAAACATCCTTGAAGAAGCCATAAAGGCTTGTCTGCCACCCTCGATTAAACTAAAGGGGTTTTCCTGTTCTGCGAGGCTGCCTCTGTCTCTCTCTTTGCCACACTGTGTTCTTTCTCTCTGTCTACAAGCTGATGTTTGGGGCCAGCTGGAGCTCTTCCATAAATTAGCTGCCCTCAGCCAAGTAAGAGACTGTTCTCTCCCTCTCCTCATTTGCATACTTTTAGAAGGAAGTGTCAAGAGTACAGAGCACTGAAAGATAAGAGCCTAACAGGGTTGAGCTTTGTCTGGCAGGTTCTGCAAATGGTGTTGAGGTAGAGAGTGATGGGGTTGGGGTTGAGGAGGGTCGTTGTGGGGTGCTCTCTGCGTCCCAGGGACATCTCTGGGAGGTGCCGTGGCACTGGACTGGAGATTCATCCTTGCTGTCTCTTATGACATCAATTCAGGCTCTGGAGATAGGACAGGGTGTGGAAGGATGGGAGTTAAAACGATGGAAGGAAGACAGAAAAATAACCTTTCCTATGTAAAATGAAGAGATGTGTAGAAACAAAATCACCCAAAGCATCATCCAAAATTTTGTGTAAGCACCCACTGATGCAAAAGCCATAAAGTAAAATACTGCAAAATTGGCCACATAAAACTGTAGAACTTCTATGCAGCCACAGAAAAAGAAAGAAAGAAAGAAAAAGGCCAGGCTCAGTGCCTCCGTAGACCCAGCTACTCGGGAGGCCAAGGTGGAAGAATCACCTGAGCCCAGGAGGTCGAGGCTGCGATGAGCTGTGACCTGGGCAACAGAGTGAGACTCCAACTCCCAAAAAAAAAAAAAAAAAAAAGGTCACAAGTAAGTTCAAAATATATTGTAGTATATATCAGAGTCTTATACACAAATAAGCAAAACATGATACCCAAAAAGGTGAGCCAAAGACGTGAAAAGAAATTCACAGAAAAATAAATACAAATAACGAAAACTAAGAATATGTTGAAGAACCGTTCTCATAAAGGAAGGCAAATTAAAGCAAGTTATCATTTTCACCTCTCAGATTTGCAAAGATTAAAAAGTCTGATAACAGCCAGTTGGCAGGGCGTGGGGAAACAGACACTTTCGTATCCGGTTAGTAGAAGAAGAAAATGTCACAACCTCATTGGGAGGCAGTTGGTAGTCTATCAAAACATAAAATGCCCAGGTCGTTTCGCCCAGCTGTCGCCTTCTAGTGATTTATCTGCACTCACTAATAAATGTCAACACATGGTGGAACATGGCAAAAATGGTAATAAACCATTTCTCACTTGACTTGGGAAGATCTCTAAGATTTTTGTGTGTGAATAAAACTCATTTCAGAACAAGGTATATGAAATGATATTATTTGCATTTTAAAATATATGCATATATAAGTGTGTGGGTATGTTTAAAATTTCTGGAACAATTTATAAACAGGAGTAGGAAAGCTAGCTAAGAATGGGGTCTCACTGAAGAGGGAAGGAGATGTTTATTTTTTATTTTAGATCTTTCTGTCTGGTTTTCATTTTTCTCAAGCAGTATATAATTCTAAAAATCTAGTTAAACAATAACATGTAAATACTCGATGGAGTGCCGGCACGTGGGAGGGGTTAAGTAGAATTGCTACAGGGAAACCCTGGCTTGATCGCAGAGCCTGGCCCCTGTCTAGGGGACATGGAGGAGTGGGCAAACTTTCAAAGCTTATGAGAACCCCAATTGGAGGAAATAGGGTCAGAGGATGGTGGGTGGGAGAACAGACTAGTAGCTTTTAAGTAAAAGCATAAGATCCAAATAGCTCTTTTCAAACACCTGACAGTATGCTGGACTCAGCAGCGGAGGTGATGGATCTTTATGGCTGTCCACTCTGCCAGCCTCTTGGTGGGTTGGGGACCACCCACTGGTCTGCTCCTCTCCCAAGGTGCTCAGACCTGACAACTCCCTTTTCCTCTCAGAGGTTTTAAAAAAAATCCAAAGTACCTACTCCTTCTCAAATTGAGGATCCCTGAGCCAAAAGAAGGTAGAACGTCTAGAAAGAGAAGAAAATCTGGGATTTCTAGTACTTCCTTGTTAGAAACAACTCCAAGACTTGCTTATCAGCTACTGGGACAAATCCAAGTCTCATCACCCCAGAGGGCTGGTGGCCAACTCCGGGGGAATAGCCCCACAGAGCACAGTGTCCAAGGAGAGGAAGTCATATGGGGGTGCCAGGGGGCTCAGCAGGAGAGAGGCACTGAGAGAGCCTCCCCTTGGCTGGTGCCCCCTCTGCAGCTGTACCTGACACCCATTCGCCATACCCCACCTTGCTCCTCCCACTAGAGACTTGTTTCTTCTTCAAACATCCCCTTTTGCTCTATTCTCCTGGCCAACCTGGTAGCCAGCCAAGAGGTTGAGGGAGCCTTCCAGACAGTGGACCCCTTCAAATTAGACCCCATAACTGACCTCCCAAAGACCCAGCCTTCCTTTTCCTAATGCTCTTTGAGTGCAGAGGGGGTGAGTAAACAAGCAGTGCCTCAGTCCAGGATTGCTGGGTGTCAGGGTTCATTTCCATCTCCAAGAAAGGACAATTCCAAAATCTAGAGACTTTGTGCCCAGATTCCTCAAACCATGTCAGGAAGTCAGATTTTCCTGCGTAGATTCTAAGCCTTTGATCTATTTCAGGTATCGGAATTGCGTCTACACTTACAGAATTCTGCCAAATGAAGATGACAAATTCACTGTTCAGGTAAGCCCTTTATAAACCTAGAAATCTGAACTTGTCTTCAGCCTATTCTGGCAAAGAAAGAGCAAAAAAGAAGCATGTGTCCTGGGTATTCTAGACATAAAGGCCTGGCTGAGCCTGGCTTTCTCCCAGAAGTCCATGGGGTGGGTTAATGGGAGAACTGTGACCCTCCAAAGTGACCCTGCTCCGTGACATAATGTAGCAGGCATGCCAGAGATTATGAAGGAGGACCCCCAAAACTCTGGAATTTATTTATTTAAAAAATTGTGTGTTTATTCTTATATATCTAAACTTCAGTTACCTTCAAAGTACTCTCCAATGATAAAATCCAACTATCAAAACGTTTTTTCCACTGCTCAAAACAGTTTTTAAACTCGTCAATTTCGATGCCTTTTAGTGCTTCTGCCATCCTTTGTTTCACCTCTTCCACATCGGCAAAACATTTCCCTTTGAGGACTTTTTTTTATCTGGGGAAACAAACAAAAAGTCACTTGGGGTGAGATTGGGTGAGTAGGGAGGGTGGGGCACGTGGGTCTTTCCGTGTTTGGTCAGAAACTGCTGAACACTCAGCACAGTGTGGGCAGGTTGTTCATGTAAATCATTCATCATGAAATGGGCAAACACATTGAAAGAATCCCCCCAAAAATATTCACCGAAGGTGAACACAGCCTCTCACAACAATGCTAGCTGGTACACTGATGCCAATGGGTTCCTAGATCACTTGCCTAGTGGGGAAAGCCCCTTCAAAAGATAATTCCGGGTTTTTTGAGTCCCCCTCATATTTGTGTCTATGGGTATGAAGAGGAAACAAAAGTGAAGAAGACTGCCCAGAGGTGAAGGAAAAGTAAGTGGCCATGGTTTGGTTGATTGTTGTTTTCAGTGCTCTCAAATGAACAAGAGGAAGTGACCCGGGAAGGAGATAAGGGAGGCAAGTTTGCAGGAGAAGAGACCACGTTTTCTGGGGGGGCTAGAAGATTAGCATGAATCAGTGCCTTTCAATTTATAAGACTCTGTTCTGTCCAAGGCTGATGATGCTCCTGGTACCTAATTTCACCATATAAATATGTAAAACAAGTAGTGAAATCTTAAAAAGAAAAAAATCAGCTGCACCAGTTCAAGCCTGGGAAGACCACCCTAAGCACAGTTTGTGTGACAAGTCCAAAAGGCTTCATTTGTACACAATACAGGACAACCAGTTGATGCAGAAGCCCAAAAAGCTACTTTTATCTGGCTGTATTAAGAGAACATGGGGTTGGGAAGAATGAATGAGGCAAGATTTCAACATCCCCAGTGGGGGATGGAGTGTGTGTGTGTGTGTGTGTGTGTGTGTGTGTGTGAGATGCTCAGTCCTCAGGAACCAGAGGAGGAGGCACAGCAACAAGTGGAGTGCATCCTCATCCCAAGCAGAGCATTTGAGATAGACAAGGATTTAGACACCAGGTCATGGAGGAGGGGCAACAGGATCAGTGGAGTTTAGTTTAAAAGAAAGTGGAAGAGGAAGGGGAGAGGCAGGGCACAATAGTTGGTTTCTAAAACTTGAAGGGAACGATTTTTCATTTTGTGCAGAACTAGGAGGCAGTAGTAGACATAGAGCTGGACTCAAGGGCAGGACAACAGGTCCCTGGGGCAAAACTCACCAGAAATGCATCAAGAGGGAGACACTGTGTTGAGCAGAATGCTCGCAGGAAGACTGTTTATAAGAATTAAAGGAATCACTCCAAAGAGTCTCTTGTTCACACTGTGAGACCGTCAGGGACATGCTTAATCCAGCCCAGGTGGTCCTGAAGCTACCGTCTAAGAGTCTATTTGCTGCAGGGCTTCCATGAGAGATGCAAGTTTGGGCTCAAGCAGAATTGCTCCACCCAATAGAGGTCAACCGAGTGTTGCTTCTGCCTTCTTCATCCTTCCTGCAAGTACATCTACTCTAGCATCTGAAGCATATTTGTTGGGAGGTTTTTAGCTGGATTGGAATGCCCACATGTTTGGCCTGGTTTTCAATGGTAGTCACCAGGAACAGATGTTAGCAAACCTAGTATAAAGCCAGGCTTTCAGGCACTTGGCAGCTATTTGTCACTGGAATGCTTGTCTCTCATGTGGACTCCTCCCAGGGACAGGGCTGGCTGAGGGAAGGCCAGCTTGGGGCAGGCAGTTGGCCTCAGTGAGCTCTACAACTTTTTTCAAGTCTGGGCCTGTGTAAGTTTTCCTGGCAGGGTTGACGTCCGTGATAGGTGCTTTACTGAGAGGAGTCTGAACTCTCTTAAGTTAAAAGTTGGTCAATGTTTTTGATCTTTTCTCGTCCTGTGGTTTCTTCTATTCCTTCAAAGTGAAGAAAACTTTAAGTATGACTGGAAAAGACGTGACTTTGTGGCTTCTTGAGTAGCATTTGCAACATGGCCTGTAAACGTGTAGATAGCATCTTGAACCTGTTCCCCTGTCATATTCATGCCCTTGCTGCTATGGCAACCTGAGACCCTGGGAATTACTGTGGTGCTGCAGTCCTGCAGCAGCTTCCAAACTCTGGATCTCCTCAGGCTTTGGGGGTTGCAAGGAACAGAGGTTCACTTTGGATAACTCTGGAAGGGATAGGTGGCCTTTGTGAAGATGTGTAGAGCAAGGAGGGAGAAGGCCACACAATGGCCCCTGGGCTTGGGTCCCGAAGAATGTGGGGCCCTGCTCGGGTTCTACCATGACTCAGCTCTTCTCTGTGGTCCATTCTTCCCCTGCCAGCAGGTTCACTTCTCAGCTCCCAGTCCCTGCGGCTTTCTCTGCATAGGCCACTCAGGGCTAATAATCTGGGTATGAACTGGCAGTCTTGGAGCAAGTGCCCACCACCATTCAGAGATGGGGGCAGGGTCATGGGAGCAAGATGTGGCTACCTCACTCAGCCTGCACTCAACCAGGGCAATGGGCAGGCAATTTTCCTAGAAGAAGTGCAGCCCTGCAGGACATATCTGCTCCCAGCCCCAGCACCAAGCCTGTGGTCTCCTCAGTAGTTGACTCCAAGTACCCAAGGTACAGGTAGCAATGGGCCTCAGTGATCTGAGGATACTCCCTCCTGTAAAAATATATCTCCTAAAGCAAATGACAGTAGATGTCTACTGAGGAACAAATGAAAGCTCACACCCAAGGAAGCAAAGTCAGAGATCTTTGGGGGAGGTTCGGCAGTTATTGATCTCTGCTTATTTTAACCCAAGTTCCTCTTTTCATGTTGACGCAAAACCTCACACTCTTTTCTGAGCTTAGCCACAGTTTCTAAATAACTCATGCCTGACACCTGAGTCTGTTGAGTGCCATCCGATGATGGGGTTCCCAAAAATAAGAGTCTAGCCAAGTGAAGCACCAAAAGGTTTTCATTGTTTCTTATTTTAATTTCTTCAGCTCTTCTCCCTGGGACTTGTCTTTTTGTCTACACCAAAGAGTCACCTCATCTCTGTTCTTTGCAGAACAACCTCATGGAGTTGGTCTTCTCACATGAGGATCTCAGTTGATCTAGGATAGCCCTGTGTCGGTCAGGGAGAGGAATGACTTTAACACCCGGGGTATCTTTTCTCTCATTCCATTTTTCACAGACTTACAGAAAATCTGAGGTGGGAGGACAGGATGGAAGCCGTAACTTCACACAAATCCTCATTCTAAATATGAATGTTGCTGAGACCTGCAGGAGTTGGAGCTCCCAGTCAGACCTTCGTTCTTCCAGCCCAGAACATGTTTCCAAAACCAGCTGGAATCCCCTTGGGAAGAACAGGCCAAGGAATCTGCCCAGGAGGACAAGGAGGCAGGGCAATGTGGCCTCTCAAGAGCTGCATTGGCCTCTTGTCCTTTACACAGTTGCAGATAGTATTTGATCACACATAGCATTCGGCCCTTATGGTAAATCAGTGAGGTATCTAGAAAGAAAGCAGACTCAACAGTTCCTGGCTGGGAGCTGCGTTCAAGTCCAACTTGGCCAGTCATGTGGCCTTGGGCGAGGACTGCCAAGAAACTCTGTGGGAGATTGAAAATCATATACATGCCTCCCAATGCAAGGAGACAGCAGAGAAGGAGATGGAAAGAAGGCAGCCGGGCACTTTAGAAGATTCTAGGCAGTGCCTAGTGGTGGTGGGGTAAGAGGAACATATTTTAGGGAGCTTGCACTCCTTCAGTTCTGCTCTTTGAGCTGTGGTCTTTCATGTCTGCAGGGCCCCGAGAGGCCTGTGGAATTATTAAACAGTTGTTCACAGCTGCTGTGACCCTCAGACCCCGAGAACCTTCTGGACTGGATCCTGTGTCACTTGTCCTGGGAGAGGGGGTGGGGGGCAGCACTCTGAGCACTGTGTGTAGTCAGAGGAAGGCAGGACGACTCAGTCCCTCAGGTCTGAGTTTTCCACACCAAGAGAGCGGATTCTTGTAAAGCCCAGACTCCTTTCCTGACTTGTAAAGGGAAGTGACTCTCCCATCAGGGAAGCAGCACCTGTCTTGAGCCACTGATTCCAGAATGAGCTGTGAGGCTGCTGCTGCCTTTTGAAGGGACTCCCCTCCCTGGGAGAGTAAGGAAGGACTTGAGGGAGCGCAATCCAACCTGATGGCCCAACTCCAGTGTGACCGTGGAGAGGCTTGGGGTTCATGGCGGCCTTCAAACGTATTGCAGAAATCACTGCCTCAAACCCAGGACCACAGTTGAAGCAAAAGGGACCCTGTGGTTCCATCTTAAAGCCCTTCGGCCCTTGCTACCTTTCAGACATCTTTCCCATCACGAGAAATAAAGCAGAAAATAAAACCCGCCCATGATCTGCCTTCCCATCAATATTCTCTGTGAACATCCTATCTTTTCTCAAGGTTGAGATTATATCCAGATTATTAATTGTTTGAATCAAGATGGGAGCACCCAGGGTTTTAATGCAAATTTAGATGTAGAGACAAGGTCTTTCTGCATTGCCCAGGCTAGTCTCCAACTCCTGGGCTCAAGCAATCCTCCCACCTTGACCTCCCAACGTTTAGGAGGAGCCTAAACTCTTTTGTTATTA